TGGATGTGGATCTTCCCCTAAATGATGCCCGCAACCCACGCCTCACTCTCTTGTTCAAATAAAAAGGCCATCTGATATGAGACAACATGAAGTCAATTTTATAAAAGAAAAAAAACGATTTAGCAACATGACAGATACATTCTTTGGTGCACATTCCATATACGTATAATTATTCATTCATGCATTTCGATCGTGGCCACTATGGATTGTACTTGTCGTCGATGACGTACTAACAAAAATCGACCAAATTTAACGAACAAAGGAGTAAATAATTTTAGTGCAACATTCAATCCACCATATATGCTAAGAATAGTTGTGATAATATACATCAGATCACCTTTTTCATCAATAGAATACGTACACAAGATAGGTACACATGATGCATAGTATTCAGTTTAATTCATGCTAGTTTTCCATCCGTCAACTATCAATTCTCTGGCAAGTGATTGAACAGTGATATTCGAAGCTGAAATAGTTGAATTCAGTGGGCGATAGATCAAATCTGATGAAGTATACACGGACTGAAGCATATTGATACAGGTAATATCATACAAACACTCAAGTGTTGATTGAAGAAGAGCTTCAAGCGGAAAACAACCGACACGAAAACCAGGTACAAGTCTTTCATCGATAGTAGCTGGAGAACTACACATAGAACTTGTACCACATGAGCAGCTACCGTTATTGTAGAAACGAGGTTTCGCTCACAATGAGTTCCACGTTATCTCACGATCAGCTGGTGTTGACACCATGAAGTACCAATTCGATCGAATAGACGAAACAATCTAATTGCCTTGCGAGACATTTCGAATGAAATCAAGCATATGCACAAATGTACGAGGTGTCGACAAACGAAATTGAGTAAGAGAATTATTGACTTTCATTTCGATAGTCTCACGAGACTCTACTCGGACACTAATAAATGCATTTAAAAGGAACTCATTAATCGCATCTGTAAGTGTTGCATTTGCCAGCGTACAGAATAATGATAGGCATTGACATTGTGGAACAACAAAGAGACGAAAATCATCATAAGAATATGTTAGAGTAGCTCATTTATTGTAAACTAGATTGATCCAATCAGAATTCTTGATAACAAAATCACTTGAACAAGTTTGATGAAAATAAGGAGAGATCGAAACAAATAAATTGTACGATATAGTAACGTTGCGACAAGGACATTGAAGCGTTGCTGAATAATTTGAATTAGATTGAAGAAAATCAAATACAACTTGCGACGGATTAGATATGATGATCTGTTTTGATCGAATGCTAATTGCATTGTAAACAATAAGAATACTAATGGAAAATGCAAGTAATATAAGATATAAGCGAGTTGCAAGAATCTCTATGCGACGTCGCTGATAATCGAATGATGAAATGTCTATTTCGAACACATTCAAATTATATATCTTGTTGATGAACGAGTCTTTCACGAATAGACTGTAATCGATGAATTTTCTGTGAACTAAAAGTGACATGAAAGCGCATAAGGGCTGATAGAACTAGGCGAAATTCCTAACTGCATGTAATAATGGTATCAAATACAGAGTTAACGAATTTTTCAATGCAAGATAAGAAACTCGATCACTATAATAATGTGTTCTGTTCATTTAGATAAATGATTGTTAGAAATCTTTTATTGTTGACTCAAATAAGCAGCATAGTGGCTAATTCTTGATGCTAATAAAAAGGAAGAAAAATTGATCGTTCCCCAGAAAGGTAACAACACACCTTCTGCTACTCCTGCGTCTATACCCCTACGTACCATACTAGAAAGAACTGATTCTATATAGTTTCGTTCTTTGAATTGTACCTAACACTGCAATCCTAGTAGAGATATTTTTAAAATAGTCTCTTCTGAAACTTTATAAAAAAAACTTTCATTATCAATTGCGGTGATTCAAGTTTGCATGACAGCTAAAACAGTGAAGTAAAATTCTATAAAATGATGCATTCTCCGTACTGTTTTCAGATAGAGTTATTAACTTCCAAGACTTCATAGTATATGCACAGTGGAACAAATTTTTGTTTTGAAGTAATCACACCCACACAATCATGAAAGATTTCAAAAATTCTAGAAGCTATTCAACAATAAAGTTGAAACTTTTAGCTAATAATGATCTTTATTACAATTTAGTAGACAACTTAGAATGTCATGTTTGTTGAACATTATTCACCTAAGAAAACGAAAGATTTAGACGATTAATTATAAAACTCTTTAGTATCTACATATTAAACTGTTTAGTATATTTTTCCGAAACAGCACATAAATCATCATATCAAGGATCACGAAACGTCGTTTATATTATATCCTATTCTTTAGTAAACTGTGATGATTTCTATTGCTATTGATTTCATGAAAAATTCCTCTATCTATCATTTGATCACTACTTACGTGCCGTAATGTTTGTTTCGGCTAAATTGATCCGGCAATCGTAGTAAATACGTACAATGCATTCATGCGATATTTTAATGAGTATGAGCATTGTTTAGGTGAACATTGTTCATAGTATCGAGCATATTGAATATTTTCACCCCATCGTTCAACCATGAGCGTATCAATGATCTCATTGATAGATGTTGTATGCAAAAAACCATTAGGCCGTGCTTGAAGAACAGATACATTGATGGGTCGCTCCGAACGAATTTCATTTTGTGCTGCATCTAAACATGTTTGATTAAATAAACAATCAAGTGACGATTTATAAACTGCTTGGAGAGTAAAACAATCAACAAATAAATTTGGAATAGTGAATTTCAATAAAGGTGAAGCATTATTCCAATAAAAACCCATTAGTGCTTTACATTGATCATTTAGCGTACAAGAGCAATCATCCCATTCGAGTGGTATTGAAAACAATTCATTATACATATATCTATTCACTCGTTCATATATTCTAGTATAAGTAATTCCTTGTGATATTGATAGCATGTCTCGTGTATGAGATTGAATGAATGAAAGATCGCGTTTTAATTTATTGATCGTATTTGTTTTGAATGTACCGAATATTACAAATGAACGTGCTATTAATTCATTTTTGAATAATACTTGACCACTCACCAATCTATTTCGATTAAAAACATGCAATGAATTGTTTAGAATCGTTTGTGCAAGTGAACATAACGACGCAAGAGTATTAAAAAATCCGAAGCCAGCATAGAAGAAGTCTTCAGGATTATAAGCAAAATCAAGGTTATCATCACGTCGTGTCACCTGTAGCCAAGTGTCAGTGATGAATGCACTTGAACATACTGGATGATATTCGAGAGATAATGACAGGAATGAACCGTAGGGAATAGCAATTTCATGACATTCACATTGAAGCATAATTGAATATTTAGTGTACAAAACTTCATAGATTGCTCGAGATGGATTATTAATTATATGAGTTTGAGTTTGAACAATTGAGGATGTATAACCGATTAGAATCATAATCGATACACCAAGAATTAAGATAGAGATACGTGTCGAAGGGATTGATGTATTCAATGCANCAAGCAAAGAGAGACAATCATCAAAACACATAACATTAAGACATAATACAGTAAGAGTCGTAGAAAAAAAAGTAGTTGATGGTAAATTTTTCAATGATAAAATGGATACTCGTTCACTGATGATGTAACAATTGTCAAATGTTTTAGATTTTGGAAAAGTACCATGATATGTGCATAAATATTTTTAGTATAAATTTCTGACAATTCTTCATTGATGTATTCATCATTATTATGAAGAATAAGATCTGTTATTCGATCCTTAAAAATAGATCGAAATACTGAGTCATCTAAACAAAAACACAACAGCATAATTCAAGGTTTTTGCATTTTATATGACTAGGAACATGTTCAATATTTACCTGTAACGTTATTGAACATTAACTCTTGCCTAAAATCGAACAGCTCAAGATAAGTCAAATTAGGATAATCTCCAGCAAGAAGAATACGTTCCATAGATTTTGTTTCGATAGTCAGTTTTTTTATGCAGTGATGCTTTCGAGGTAATATTGAAGTACAAAATCGATCAAGCTCATCGTCAGTAATCGATGGTCTTTTTACAAAATTGACAATATTATTAAATACATTATCTTGTACTAAAATGTCAAGTCGTTTATTAGGAATTCCCCATAACGAAGAAAGAACATTAATAGTGTCGAGTTTCTTGAATATGATCATCAATATTTCATTGGGCAGATCAAGAAGATGAATGTTTGACTAATTCATGTTTGCTTATGACTCTTACCTTCATAGAAGCATATATATATGTTAGTTTTTTTTCTTCTAGCCTTGTCCGGCAGCGAGGATTAGAATCTATACCCCATAATGTTCATTCACATGAAAATAGACCACGTTATGTTAAACAAAGAAAAACAAAAATTGACTGAATTGTAACTGCGCACGTAATGTTTAAATAAATAGTAAGGGTGTGGGTGTGTGTGGCTGTGGGTGTGGGTGTGGGTGTGGGTGGGTGTGGGTGTGGGTGTGGATTTCGATGATGTCTTCATTTACAACCACATCCACACTCCCACCTACCCACACCCACCCGACACCCCATACTCCACCCGCCCACAGCCCACACCACTGACACCCACAACTACCCCACACTCTCAAGATTTTCCGCAATTCTCAGTGGTTTCCAAGAGTAACAAAATTCCATGAGAACCACTGCGAACTGCTTTTTCCCATTGACAGGAAGTTTTCAGAGCGGCACTAAGAGAGATGTCGAATGTGGTTTGAAATAAGAGCAGACAATTATGGGTACTTGTTACGTGAAAAGCAGGACTGGTTTACGTTTATTAAAAGAAAAACATTTCCCGCCACCATACTTCAAATTTTCTTGTTCAAATAAAAAAGCCACCTACAATGACACAACATGAAGTCAATTTTTTAAAAGAAAAAAAAAAGTGTTCGAATTCTTTGACGAGAATAATGCACTAGACAATATTGATTTAGCAACATGACAGGAACATTCAATGGTGAACATCCCATATACGTATAATTACTCATTCATGCATTTCGATCGTAGCCACTATAGGTTGTACTTGTCGTCGATGACGCATTAACAAAAATCTACCAAATTTAACGATCAAAGGAGTGAATAATTTTAGTGCAACATTCAATCCACCATATATACTAAGGATAGTGGTGATAATATATATCAGATCACCTTTTTCATTAATAGAATACGTGCACAAGACAGGTGCACATGACGCATAGTATCCAGTGTAATTCATGCTAGTTTCCCATCGATCAACCATCAATTCGCTGACAAGTGATTGAACAGTGGTATTCGACGCTGAAATAGTTGAATTGAGTGGATGGTAGATCAAATTCGATGAAGTATACATGGACTGAAGCATATTGATACAGGTAATATCATACAAACACTCAAGTGTTGATTGAAGAAGAGCTTCGAGAGGAAAACAACCGACACGAAAACCAGGTACAAGTCTTCCATCGATAGCAGCTGGGGAACTACACATAGAACTTGTACCACATGAACAGCTACCGTTGTTGTAGAAACGAGGTTTCGCCCACAATGAGTTCCACGTCATCTCACTATCAGCTGGTGTTGACACCATGAAGTACCAATTCGATCGAATAGACGAGACAATCCAATTGCCTTGCGAGACATTTCGAATGAAATCAAGCATGCGTACAAATGTACGAGGTGTCGACAAACAAAATTGAGTAAGAGAATTATTGACTTGCATTTCGATAGTCTTACGAGACTCTACTCGGACACTAATAAATGCATCTAAAAGGAACTCATTAATCGCATCTGTAAGTGTTGTATTTGCCAGCGTACAGAATAATGATAGCCATTGAAATTGTGGAACAACAAAGAGACGAAAATCATCATAAGAATATGTTAGAGTAGCCCATTTATTGTAAACTAGATTCATCCAATCAGAGTTCTTGATAACAAAATCACTTGAACAAATTTGATGAAAACAAGGAGAGATCGAAACAAATAAATTGTACGGCATAGTAACGTTGCGACAAGGACATTGAAGTGTTGCTGAATAATTTGAATTAGATTGAAGAAAATCAAATACGACTTGCGACGGATTAGATATGATGATCTGTTTTGATCGAATGCCAATTGCATTGTAAACAATGAGAATATTAATGAAAAATGCAAGTAAAATAAGATATAAGCGAGTTGTAAGAATCTCTGTGCGACGTCGCTGATAATCGAATGATGAAATGTCTGTTTTGAACATATTCAAATTATATATCTTGTTGATGAACAAGTCTTTCACGAACCGACTGTAATCGATGAGCTTTCTGTGAACTAAAAGTGACATGAAAGCGCATAAGGGCTGACAGAATTATGCGAAATTCATAACTGTATGTAATAATGGTACCAAATACATAGTTAACAAATTTTTCAATCCAAGATAAGAAACTCGATCACTATGATAATGTGTTCTGTTCATTTCGATAAATGATTGTTAGAAATCTTTTATTGTTGACTCAAATAAGCGGCATAGTGGCTAATTCTTGATGTTAATAAAACGAACAAAAATTGATCCTTTCCTAGAAAGGGAACTACACACCTTCTGCTATTCGTGCATCTATACTACCACTATACTAGAAAGGACTGATTCTATACAGTTCCGTTCTTTGAATTGTACTTAACACTACAATCCTAACAGAGATATTTTTAAAATAGTCTCTTTTGGAACTTTATAAAAAAAAACTTTCATTATCAATTGCGGTGATTCAAGCTTGCATGACGGCTAGCGCAGTGAAGTAAAATTCTATAAATTGATGCATTCTTCATAATGTTTTCGGATAGAGTTATTAACTTCCAAGACTTCATAGTATATGCACAATGGAACAAATTTTTGTTTTGAAGTAATCACACACACAATCATGAAAGATTTCGAAAATTCTAGCAGCTGTTCAACAATAAAGATGAAACTTTTAGCTAATAATGATCTTTAGCACAATTTAGTAGACACAACTTAGAATGTCACGCTTATTGAACATTATTCACCTGAGAAAATGAAAGATTTAGACGACTAATTATAAAACTCTTTAGTATCTATATACTAAACTATCTAGTATATTTTTCAGAAACAGCATATAAATCACCATACCAAGGATCACGAAACGTCGTTTATATTATATCCTATTCGTTACTAAACTGTGATGATTTCTATTGCTATTGATTTCGTGAAAAATTCCTCTATCTATCATTTGATCACTACTTACGTGTCGTCATGTTTGTTTTGGCTTTTAATCTGACAGCATGACGTATGCTTTTGACAACGAACGGTACAATGAGTTTTAATGCGACAATGAGTCCACCAATTGAACCGGCAATCGTAGTAAATATGTACAATGCATTCATGCGATATTTCAATGAGTATAAGCATTGTTTAGGCGAACACTGTTCATAGTATCGATCATATTGAATATTTTCACCCCATTGTTCAACCATGAGCATATCAACGATCTCATTGATAGGTGTTGTGGGCAAAAAACCGTTGGGTCGTGCTTGAAGAACAGACACATTGATAGGTCTCTCCGAACGAATTTCATTTTGTGCTGCATTCAAACATGTTTGATTGAATAAGCAATCAAGTGACGATTGATAAACCGCTTGGAGGGTAAAACAACCGACAAATAAATTTGGAATAGTGAATTTCAATAAAGGTGGACCATTATTCCAATAAAAACCCATTAGTGCTTTACATTGATCATTAAGCGCACAAGAACAATCATCCCATTCAAGTGGTACTGAAAACAATTCATTATACATATCCCTATTCACTTCTTCATATATTCTAGTATAAGTAATTCCTTGTGATATTGATAGCATGCCTCGTGTATGAGATTGAATGAGTGAAAGATCACGTTTTAATTTATTGATCGTATTTGTTTTGAATGTATCGAGTATTACAAGTGAACGTGGTATTAATTCATCTTTGAATAACACTTGACCACTCACCAATCTATTTCGATTAAAAACATGCAATGAATTGTTTAGAATCGTTTGTGCAAGTGAACATAACGAGGCAAGAGTATTAAAAAATCCGAAGCCAGCATAGAAGAAGTCTTCAGGATCATAAGCAAAACCAAGGTTATCATCACGTCGTGTCACCTGTAGCCAAGTATCAGTAATGAATGCACTTGAACATACTGGATGATATTCGGGAGATAATGACAGGAATGAACCGTAGGGAATAGCAATTTCACTACATTCACATTGAAGCATAATTGAATATTTAGTGTACAAATCTTCATAGATTGCTCGAGATGGATTATTAATTATATGAGTTTGAGTTTGAACAATTGAGGATGTGTAACCGATCAGAATCATAATCGATACACCAAGAATTAAGATAAAGATACGTGTCGAAAGGATTGATGTATTCAATGCAACTTGATCATTTTGAGTTTCATGATTTTCGAATAGATTTAAGTGGATCAATTTAGTTTTTATCAGACTATACACAGTTCGAAACCGATCTGTTAGACTAACTACAAAGAATATTTCAAAAAAACGTCAAATAAATTAAAGATTGATAGAAATCTTCTCAGCTCATATTCACTTTTTCTTCGAGTAAAATTAGCTTGTTTTCGATCAAGTTCGATGGATACATTAGGATTATTATTTTAACCATTCTTCTTCTATCTGACAGTCTAGACAATGTATTATCAGGTCTTCCTGTTTTGGAGTGACTATGAGTCATGAAATATATATTTAGAAGTCAGCAAAAAATTTTACAGAATTGAAAACAAGTTTAGTATCAACAGAGACACAAATTACAGTTTTCCATAACTTATTTATGATGAGAAAGACACAATTTAAGACGCCTATTTCTGTCATTTGATAAGTTACAAGTCTACGTTTTTAAATTTAGTTAAAAGAAAATTATCAACCGCCAATATTTCAGAAAAAAAATTCATTAACTTGTTCAAAGGTATAAAATTGAAATAAATTTCGTTCTTAGAAGTGATTATTAACAGTACTTAGTATAATGTAGTGAACCTTACATTGATCAGATTCTGTTGGAGCATTGATTCGGCTCATCCACCAAGCTACGATAAATGGTACGCAGATCCGAAGAAAAACAGTAAGTCCACCATAGAGACCCAATAATTTCGTCAATATATATAAAAAATTGTTCTGCTGTGTGGATGAATATGTACAAGCAAAGGGAGCACATTTAACGAAATAGTCCTCGAATGAGCTCATTGTATTCCATTGTTCAATAAACAAATCATTCAATATTGTTTCGATAGTTGTCCTCGGTGAGAATCTTGTTTGAGCAATATTAAGAGTATTAATTGTGGTAATATTATGAAACGAAAAGAATGCGAGCACTATTTCAAGACATGTTCGATTGAAGAAACAGTCGAGTGTCGACTGAAGCAAAGCTTCGATGGCATAGCAACCAGTTACGAAACCTGTCACATTTACCACTGGCAGTATTGGCAATGTAAAATTTCCGTTGTTGACGTAGGTCCACATATTGAAGATACCAGATGATGATGAGCAGGTGGATGTGATGCCGCAGGAGCATAATGTAGCATTATGATCGAAGAAAATGCTACTCATGGCATTAATAACTGCTGTACCATCGCTTCTGACGATTATCGAAAGACTTTTTGATGTTTGCAATGCTGATTGTAATTGATTGTTATGTGTAGCACTACGTATAAAACTTAAAACTTGACGCACAGAATTAACGGTTGATGTTCGTAAAAATAAAGTTTCAGATTGAACCTGAGCATCCATTAACTGTTGCGTAACTAGTTGTGGACTGAAGAAAGTGTCGGAAAGAAAATCATCAATTGAATCACGTACAGACTGTTTGACAAATGAACAGAGTGAGGAAAGCATTTGAAATTGGCCTGTGGCCGATGAACGAAAATCTAGTTGGAAGAAATAGCTAATGTCCGGATCAAACAAAAGATTGATCCAGTCATCGGAGACAAACCAACTTGAACATATAGGATGAAATCGAGTAGACATCGAAACAAATGTAATGTACGGAATGGCTACTTGACTACAGGGACAAGAAAGTATGTTCAGATATTTTTCCTTCAAAATCTGATAGATTGTTAAAGATGGATTTTGAATAGTAAAAACTTGAGTTTGACCATCTAGTCCAACGCATATGATAAGAATAAGAACGGCCAATGTAAGAAGAACAAGATATATGCGAGTTGATATAATGGCAATTCGGTGATGAAATGCGTCAGATCGAGAAGTTAAATCATCGAATAAATTCAATTCTTTCACTTGTCTTTTGATGTATTGACGAGAAGCAACATTCATTCTTATATTTTCAATGAATCTTTTAAATCAAGGTATAGATCACTGTCATCAGTTGAACGTGTTAGCAGCGAGATTTGTGCTTTTTTTTCTCTTCAAATCAATCTGTCAGTTCTACAAACAAACTGAATAAATGAATAGCGAGATAGGCACAAAACCATCGTTAGAAGTGAGAATCACCTTCACTTCTAAGTGACCGCACTTCTAGACGAAATTATTTTGTCGATATAAAAAAATACCTTTCTTACCAGAACGAGGTTTACTTGGTCTGATAATGAACGGAAATAACGAGTTTTTTCTCAAAGCGGTTATATGCAGTGTACTGCTGTGCATATTGCAAAAATACAAATTACACTAATGTCTAAATAAGAAAATAACGTGAAAAGAAAAAGCAATGATAAAAAATGTTGCCAATAACTGTTTGTTTTGAGTGGAACGCTTCTCAAAAAAAAAATGAAAAAGAAATGCACTTCGTTAATTAAACTTTCCATTATTGAAAGTAGCGCGTAAATTTCCATACGCTTCACTAATGAGAAGATTATTTGAAGAAAAAAACTGCAGATGGTTTATTTGACTGACGAGGAAACATCACCAACTGATGCCCTCCGTTTGAGCTCATATTTTTCTCATTGGTAGGGATCATAGTGCAGATAAAAATCCTAGATGGGTTCGTGCCCATAGGCCTTTCTTCTCGAGTTATGATCATATATCTGAATTTTCAGCCTATGACAAGGTATTATAAAAAAACTACAACGAGGAATTTTTGCCTGAAAATTTCCTCAATAACAGTCCTCATGATCCTTATTATATCCTGAAACGTTGAGCTCAAACAAATGAGTTTTTCTTAAGATATGAGATATCTTAAAAATGGACCTTTTTTTTTGGAGACTTTGTAAAAAAAGTAGTGTTTAGTGGAAACCTATTATCTCGAGAGAGAAGCATTCGTTCGAGCTGAAAGCTTCACGATATAATAAGGCTCATGAGATCTGTTATTGAGGAAATTTTCAGGCAAAAATTTCTTCTTGCAGCTTTTTTATAATACCTTGTCATAGACTGAAAATTCAGTTAAATGATAATAACTCGAGAAGAAAGGCTTATGGGCACGAACCACTCTAGGGTTTTTATCTGCACCATGATCCCTACCAATGAGCAAAACATGAGCTCAAACGAAGGGTATCTGTTGGTGAGGCTCCCTCATGAGACTCTGACCATACCTTAGGATGAGAGTCGATGCTTTTCGTGTTAATTTGAAGTTGTTCATAAATTTGATCCAGTCTGATGAACATTAGGTGAAATTTGTTTCCTTACCTTGTTGTTAGCTCGCAACAGCACGAGTTTTCTTTATTTTATTTTAAAAAGAGTGTCTTCACACAGTTACACACACATATGTAAACATCTCAAAGAGAAGGCCGAGAAGAAAGAAGAACAAACGGTAACAATGAAGAGAGAAAAGAAGAAAAAAAAGAGAAGGCGATCAAGGTTTACAATGGTAAGAAATTACTGCTAACAATCCTCCTCTCCTGTCCTGTATGTGTGTCTACACACATCAATAATATGTCTATCAAGAATACTTATCATTCACCACAAACTTTGGTTCGCTGAATCAATCGCTAAATTCACACTGGTGAATAAGTAAACATGTAATCTATTCTAGTGGCCAAGTAGGGCCGTTAAGTTAGGGATGTTTTTAAAAATAAGATATAACTTACGTATTATAATCAAATACCATCCTAGGACTAATACAGGGCCACCAAAAGTATTCCATTTTGCTATTTTTGATCCTCAAAAAATTTATACCTCTATGTTGCACATGTTGCACTCCATTTTGATTTGAGGGTGTAGGTGTGGGTGGGTGGGTGAGGTTTTGGGGTGTGG